TGTTAGTCGTGATGACGTCACGTGAGTCAATAGTGATCAAGTCGGTTGGCCAAGTCATAAGTATAACATTATTGCTCTCTCACAGACGTTTCGTTCGATATCCATGAAAACAGGTTAGGACAGCGCGTGCGTGTGTGATAGACGTGATGACGTCACATGAGTCACTAGTATTCACGTCGCTAGGCCTGGTGAGAGGATTCAAGTTATTACTCTCTCAAAGACATTTCGTTTGATATGCATGAAGACAGGTTAGGACACCACGTGCGTGTGTGATAGGCATGATGACGTCACGCTAGTCACTAGTGATGACGTCACCGGGCCTTGTGACAGCGTTCAAGTTATTACTCTTTCAAAGACATTTCGTTTGATATGCATGAAGACAGGTTTGGACACTGCGTGTGATAGGCGTAATGACGTCACGTGAGTCACTAGTGATGACGTCACTCGGCCTAGTGCCAGCATTCAAGTTATTACCCTTTCAAAGACGTTTTGTTTGATATGCTTGAAGGCACATTGGAGAGTGCTTGCGTGAGTCTTAGGCGAGATGACGTCACGCCACTCACTAGTGATGACGTCACTGGGCTATGTGACAGGTTCAAGTTATACTCTCTCAAAGACGTTTCGTTGATATATATGAACTCAGGTTAGGACACTGCGTGCGTGGGTGTCAGACGCGATGACGTCACACTAGTCACTAGTGATCACGTCACTAGGCCCGATGACAGCGTTCAATTTATTAGCCTCTCGAAGACGTTTCGTTTGGTATACATGATGGCAGGTTAGACATTGCGTGCGTGGGTGATAGGCGTGATGACGTCACCTAAATCACAAGTGATCAAGTCAGTTGGCCGAGTCATAGGTAACACGTTATCGCTCTCTCAAAGACGTTTCGTTTGGTATGCATGTTGGTAGGCGAGTAAAGTTTCATTTGATATGCATGACGGAAGGTTAAGACAGTGCGTGCATGGGTGATATGCGTGAGGACGTCACCTAAGTCACTCGTGATCAGATCATTGGCCTGGTTAATAAGTATCAAGTTATTATTGTGTGGACAGCGTTGCCTTTGATATGCATGTCGAAGGTGTGATTAGTGCTTACGCGGGTGATAGACGTGATACAGTCGCGCGAGTCACATTGTGTCACTAGTGACTCATTCATGGCTTTTTCCTGTTAAATTCACTCCAAAGCTATTCACTCCACGCATTCCCGAAAATTCTGGGTCGTTTTGATGTCACAATGTCATCAGGATTAAATTCACTGGCGTCCGGATTAAATCGGCTGGCGGTTGGATTAATTTCAGTGGCACTTGGATTAAAATGAATGGCACCTGGATTAATTTCAGTGGCGGCTGGATTAAATTGACTGGCGCTTAGATTAATTTGGCTGGCGCTTGGATTAAATTGAGCGGGAAAACCTGTAGTATATACTATGAACTCGAGGTGGTTAAAGGTGGGAAGTAGACCCGAAGCGCAAGCTGTTAGAAAGTGTGCGTGTGCCACCTCTCGTTTAGTCCTTGGAATGTCCGCTGGATGGCGGTGTTTTTATATGGGGAATATATGATGAAAAGATGCGAGATGGTGGTACTTGGAGTGTTGAATAGATGGGCGAACAGACACACAGACAGATGCATGAATGGACGCATGAACGGACGCAGGGGCGGATGCATGGACGAACGCAGGAACGGACGCACGCACGGACGGGCGGATGGACGCATGTACGGTCACACAGGCGGAAGGAAGCAAGAACGAATGGACGGACGAATGCTTCGCCCCACTCTCCACCGTTCCCTCCGTGGATATGCTGCCAATTTTTTTTATTAACTCAATATAATGGTTGAAGTTCAAAAAACAATCAAGTTCTACACCGAGAAATGTCCATTTTTCAGAAGGAAATATTTCATGGTTATTAACATATACCGGGAGTGCGTTATCTCGGTTTTTTTACCTAGAGCTGAAAATAACAAATTTTGTCTTGTGTGTGTGTGTGTGTGTGTTGTGTGTGTGTGTGTGTGTGTGTGTGTGTGTGTGTGTGTGGTGTGTGTGGTGTGTGGTGTTGTGTGTGTGTGTGTGTGTGTGTGTGTGTGTGTGGTGTGGTGTGTGTGTGTGTGTGTGTGTGTGTGTGTGTGTGTGTGTGTGTGTGTGTGTAGTGGATTTCGCGCCAACCCTTGATTACACTGAAAGCAAAGAAACACGTACAAAAAACAATATTTCTGATAATTTTCTTTTCGCCCAGTATTTAGTTATATACATTCGTTCTCTTTTTCTTGGTAAGCTACCCGATTCTTCGCCGATCCCCCAGGGTGGGTGTAAGCCACGAGTTTATGATCTACATCTACATCATCTCGTCACTTAAAGCGTGCTAACCATTGCACAGAAGGAAAATTACGCGAAAGCCTCACTTATACAAGCCACTTTCAACTTTATCGATTACATGTAGTATTCCCCTATTTAACTTCTCGAGCAACAACATAAGATAAAAAGTATGCACTAAGTGGTTAAAGTACGGCTCTAGGGGCAGGATACCACTCCGCCTTCAACTTTCAAATGCGAAGCTTAAGGATCCCCAATGTTTTACATTACCTCGATGATCAGATTCATCTCCTGGTTTCGCTCTGCCTCCATGATCTCCCGCCATTGACCAAGCTACAATGTGATATCACCCCGCCGTGGTGGTCTAGTGGCTATGGTACTCGGCTGCTGACCCGCAGGTCACGGGATCGAATCCCGGCTGTGGCGGCTGCATTCCGATGGAGGCGGAAATGTTTGTAGGTCCGTGTGCTCAGATTTGGGTGCACGTAAAGACCCCCAGTGGTCTAAATTTCCGGAGCCCTCCACTACGGCGTCTCTCATAATCATATGGTGGTTTTGGGACGTTAAACCCCACATATCAATCAGTTACAGTGTGATTTCGTAATCATGCGATAGGAAGTCACATGAAAGCACTGTGACGTCATAAGAAGGTCTCACATTTTGGCTATTTGTGATGTAATTATGACGTCATGTTGACGTAATCAACGTGATGATACCTTTGGCCTCACTGGTGTTAACGCCGACAGAGACGTCAACATTAGACACCGGGTATTTTTCGCATTTGATGCGCATGTAAAGATTTCGTCTTAATCTTTTGCTTGCTGTAGCCACTTCAGGGTTATTTACAAAAAAACTTCACAGAAACAGATGTAGATGTTAGAAATATAGCTTGGTCCTTTCTCTTATCTGATTAAAGCTCACAAGCTCTATTTTCTATTTACCGTGTAATATGTCGTACTGTTTCATTTACGAGTGGCCTTTGATATGTCCTTGACCAACTCTAGTGTATGGGCTGTCAGAAATAAGTGGAAACTTTTTCGCTTGACTCAATACGGAACAGGGGAAATGGATCAAAGACTACATTTATTTGTAGTCTTTGATCTTTGACGTCCTTTAAAGAAATTCATAGGAGACAATATTGTATTATTTAACTGCAGAGTACCAATCACGACATAGATATATCGAAATGAGTTAATGGACGGGAAAAAAAACAATTGACCGCTGCTGGGGACCGAACCTACAACTTCGTACAACACGCCCGATGCTCTACCAACTGAGCTATGGCGGTGGCCATCCTTGTTCACTTTATTAACGACATTTTCATTGCTCTTATTTATATTGTGAGCGTAGTTACCGACTCTTCTTAATGAATTGTACGAGTCCTCATCATTTGTATAATTTCCTCATCAGTATATATCATCATCAGTGTGTGCCAGCTCGAGCTCGCCTCGAATAAAGCTCTTCCTCATAAATGGCGAGCTCGAGGCGAGCTCGAGCTGGCACACTGATGATTATATCTACAGATGAGGAAATTATACAAATGATGAGGACTCGTACAATTGATAAAGAAGAGTCGGTAACTGCGCTCACAATATACATTCAATATTGCTGCATGCCTGCTAGAAAGTTCATCATCTGACGTAAATTTATTTGATTGAAACGTACGAGGGTCCATCGGTAGGAGTGAATAACTGCAACGAAAATGTGACACTACATCACATGTCGGCGTGGACAAACCTGCTTAGGAATAGTACTGCATATGGGGTGCCCGTCCCTCCAGATTAAATAAGCTGCAACTATTTCTTGTTTCGCCGTAATAATGAAAAAGCCTCTGCATGTTTAAGTTATTCCGAGCATTGTAAATACCATGTTTTATTTTATCAATGTGCACATATTGCTTGAGGAAATGGAGGGACTGATTTTCATACCGAGATCGTTCATACCATCAGCGTTCGTTGCGTGGTAAGTAGAAAGCATTCGTTTGCTGCGTTAGTTTCAAAGCCCGTTATCTGTCATGTTAAGCTCTATATATATGTGCACAAAAGGAAATAATGCCTGTAGCGAGCTTTTCTTCTGAAGAAAGTGTACTAATCAAGTTCTAATATTGAAATTTGATCAACCAGCATACAGAAGAAGAGAACCGTATGCACAGCGACTAGAATGTGGCCTTGCCAGCTCAGCAGTGAATGTAGACAGCTTATCAAGGCTGTCCAAACTCCTTAGTGACATTCGAAAAAGCCACGTGAAACTGGACACTCGGTCAAAGACAGCAGATACAGGGTAAAAGTCAAGAAAGACGCCAGATTTGATAGTGGGAGAGTAGCAAAAGATGGTACTCGGGATTCTTCGAGAGTGAGAGGAGCGAGAGTTGAGAGTTAGCTGTACAGCCTTCTTGGAACACCCTCTCACGCTTGATTCTAAGTGCCCGCGACGCAACCGTTGCGTCATGACTCTGACCCCACAATGCCATGCCCCGTTAGATGATGGTTGGTACAGCAACCCGCTGAAGAATTCTCGAGTTTCTGGCGACCCCTATTTCAGATGTCCCGTCTGTTTCTCGCGAGAAAAACAGATACAGAGAGAGAGAGAGAGAGACACGTTTCCAAATTGGGCAAGCGTTTCCCTTTTTAAGCGGGCCAAGCTGAGTGCTAGGCAGTCTTGTTTCTGAAAACCGCTCCTTGTCTGAGCCATCATGAAAGCAGTCCTGGTTCTCGCTGTGTTTTTCGTCATCGCCTACGTCGCTCCCCAAGGCGCCACTGAGGAGCACCAGCACGAAAGCCACGAAGGTCATCATGGCGACCACATCGACGAGCATGGGCGCCATCGCCCGCACCATGGATCCGTCTGCAGTAAGTTGTCGCCGGGTTTCTTCATTCTCAACGAGTGTCAATCTCTCTCCCCCTTGATCTTCGTTGTTGCCTCATCCCTCGGGGGGACTGCATTAATTGATTGCGACCTACTGGATGAAATGAGATTGACACGCCGGCTGTACTAAATGGCATACCAGCAGTTGTATGTACGCCGGCTAAAAAAAAAATTCGTTTTTCAATAAACAGCCGCTCTTTACTTCTTTATGAACGCGTGAAAAGTACTTTGACGCCATGTTTCATAAGACAGCTTGTCGTAGGAGTCAGGGGCAGAAGGGGTAGACTTTCAAGAACTCTGTAGAGCCACACGGGGTTACTTTGTATTTTAGCAGGTAAATTTTAGAAACTATACGTTGAAATCGTGAAGATCAATCGTGAAGATCAAAGCGTGAAGATCAATCTTCTTTTCTTTCTTTTCAGATTTGTCTGAGCAATCCCTGGCTGCAGTGGTTGAATGTGTAGTACGAAATGTTACCGAGGAGGTAGGTATTTTCGATGTGGTAGTTCATGTAGCTTCTAGCCTGTGCTGTAGTTCGTACACATCCAGTCATCTGAGATTCTTTTTTTCTAGTGCCGTAAGCATAATTTCGCGGACTCACTCATGAGTAGACTCAATCAGACTCCCAAATACTCCGATCTAGCCGTGAGTCTGAATCTTAGAGAGTCCGGGTAACTAATATTTTCGTGAGTCTGAGTCCGAGTTAGTCTAAAGCTCAAAATATATTTCTTGAGTGAGTCTGAGTTAGCTCCACAAGCTTTGCTGACCTCTCGCCATAATTACTACAATTCAGGTACATCACACGAGAGGCCAGCGTTTTTGGTGGTTTATTTTTGCAATGCATACCTTCTTAGACGGAACGATAATTCTAGTAATGTATGTCTTCGGAATTAACATCTTGCGTTTCTTTGTATGAGTGGGTGAAAAGTCGTCGCAGTGAAGGCTGTACAAAATTACGCCGCTGCCACTTAGCACCTAAACTTACTTATTCCGACTTCTGTGGTCGATCGCGCCTGTATCATTTTCTGCTGCCTCCACCACTCAACATCCACCGCTCATGGTAAATGGCTATAAATAGAAGGTGGGTGGGTGTAGTAGACATTGAGGCTAGATGTGGCATACTCATCTAGCCTTTTTCGCCTGCTAATGAGACCCTTGAGTGGTCATCAATATGGTAAACGTTATAATGGTGAAACATCTGAGGAGGGTGCGTGAAACGTAAACTCATCCCCTTTTACGCACTTCATTTTTAGCGCTATTTATATTCGATAGAAAGGCGCTGGTGTTGTTCAAACGATAGGTATCCGAGAAGTCAGATGGTTAATGCTATATACGTATTGCATATAAAAAAAACAGTATATGTAGATCAGCTATAGGCCCCAGAATACCTAATTACCGTCATTTCGTAAACAATTTTAATATTATCAATGGTGCCACTTGAGAGTAAATGTGTATTGTATAATGTTATTTTCAATACGCTTGCGGTCTGCATTTAGTTTGGGGTGGGCATGTTCTAACAATTTTAAAGCGCGTATTGTCGGGGGCCTGTCTTAGTGCCCAAGTGTCGAGCTAGCATGACGAGAACTGGTGAGACGTGAAGTTAAGGTCATTGCATTTGCAAAAAACACTCTATCGGTTTTGCAAACAAAAATCCTCGTTCACATCACGTGTGAACGTTACTCGCAGATTCGAGGAAAACTGGAGAGTGTAAAAGAAAGCCTTCGGTGTGACACCATCCTGTGTGGAATTAAGAAAACTTGCGACCGAGACGGTACTCTGGTAAGATTTGTCATTTCATATCTCTGCCAACATTCTCCGCAAGCAGCCCTTTCTATACCTAATACAGCGATACAGTTTAAAGTAGCGGAAATGTTTAAAATTATGTCACAGTTCTTGCATGAATATATATATATATATATATATATATATATATATATATATATATATATATATACATATATATATATATATTTATTTATTTATTTATTATAAAGAGTCTGGTTGTTATTTTTGCTAACGCAGCTTTCACTCAGTTAAACTTAACTGAAGATGACGACACGGGTCACCCATTTCTTATAATAATGTTCAAATGTGGTACGAGGTCACGCCTCTTCCTTAGACGACATTATTTGCTTATTTATCGCGCTTCAAAGATCAAACATAAATCTCGTGTTTAGTGAGGAATAAGTGGCAAATTATGTGACATAACTTATTAAATTAGGTAACCTTCAGAGAATACAATTACCCCATGTTTATTATGCACTCTTATATTAACAGCGAAGCTAGTTGGTCTCGGCGAAACTCCACTTGGCGTAGAGACTATCTCGGGCGAGTACGCACCACTGTAAGTTGGTATGAGCCGAGCATCTCCTAGCATAGCGTACAGCTATGCTGTGCTTTGCTAAAAGCCTAGCACAGCCTAATATAATAGGGGAAGGTGGGAAAGAGGAGCATCACAGCATATCATATTACATCAGTTAGGGGTGAGAAAAAAAGTGGGGGTGAAGATGAAGAGAAGGAGGCGAGTAGAGGGCTAAAGCAGAGCATACCCCTGTATAGTATATATTATAATTCAGCAAGGTTATGAACAAGAAACTTGAGTGCAAGGAGGACTGATGCTGAGAGGGTAAAAAGTGGCCCAAGCACGGACAGTATAGCACAGCAAGAGTTGTGAAAGAGGAGCAGAGAGCGGGGATAAGTAATGTGGGAAGCAGAAACTGGCGAAGGAGGAAAGCAGGCAATATATAAGAGAGAAAAGAATAATAACAGGATAAAGTATTAAAGATGCATGAAAGAAAGACGAAGAATGAGATGAGAAAAAAACACGGTCTATGTTCGAAAAGTGCAGTGGTGCCTATTTACTTATATTGCAGAGGCATGAAATGGCTTTATTATTTTAGAGCACTTAACCCTGCAACTTTTTCTGCCTTTAACGGGCTCATAAGCTGTGTCGGAGTAAACGCGGCAAAATAATTAATTCACAAGTGTAGCTCTCGATCTTCCTTGTAGCGCCTAAGTGCTGCACGTCGCATACGGCAACGTTCACGTGGACATGACGAACAATGTGCAGTCACAATTTATGTTGTCCGGTGAAAAACGCGTGCTCGTTCATGTGAAAATTTCAGTCGAATCGCACCACCCGATGCCGCGAATAAATACCCCTAAAAAATCACCAGACCATAATAGTACAAGAAGTTCTCTTCCCGCACTTGCATCTCTCATAACCTTTTTAGCCTATGACCGCGTGTCACGTAGGAAACAAAGATTTACACGTACACACTGTCTTCTCTTTAACAACCCAACACTGCAATTGCCTGTTCAGAAATATGAATGCCTTACAATTGAGCGACTGACTAACCTATCAAGGAGCCGCAGCCTTAAGTGTGTATGTATTTTGTCACTTTGTAAAGATAGATAAATTAACTCGTAATATGGTGAATACAGGATTATCGTTCTCGAACAACTGCCATGTAAGCTTGATGGTTCCCTCGAGAAACATCAAGCGACGGATGTCACTGGATGCGGATGCCAGAGTAAAGAATCGTCAAAGAATGGGAAAGTTCCTATTTGTTTTGAAGCATAAATAATGGATGTTGTGCACACTTTCATTTCACTTTACAGGAGAACAACCGGACTGATGTTTTCACGGTGAGTTTCTTCTACCATGACAATTTCTTCAACTTTCCTATACTTTTAAACTATAACAAGGCTCAACTGTTTCTTTTTATTTCATTATGAGTTAATGGGAGCTAAAGATTGTTATAGCTGATATTATACGACAGTATACTGTTCCCTCTAAAATTGACTATAGAAGAAGAGATTATACAGTCAAATTTTCCTGCTGTTAGCACAATCTCAAAATTTTTGATAACTTTGGCAGAAAGTGTTTTTGATACAATATAATGTTAATCAGAGAGATATTATGGAAATAAGTGCTACCGCAGCTCAATTTCACGCCGTGCTTTCACCTCACACGTGACTCAAGACAAAATGCCCGCGCTTCTGCTGCAAGATTGTGTGATCAGGCCAATTGAAGGAATGATTTCCTGGCAGTTATTTCATTCTCAAATACATTTTATGTACTAGCAAGGAATTTTATTGTTTAGCGAGATTATGTTCAACATTGCAATATAAACTTCCCCATAGGCAAGTGAATATTGCAATGTTGCAATATTCTAACTCCTTAGTTAGAAGCCATAAGAGATATTAAAGTGGAAACTATGATTATTCCGTGAATAATATTTTGTCAATTTTATAAGACGTTGAAATAGATATATGTCTCGTGCAACGATCTAAAAGCAGCAGAATTGGGAGACTCTTAAAATATTACTTGTTAGAAACACGTACACACACACGCACGCACCGAAGCAAACAGATGTAGTCGGCGCGTTAACCAATCTCGTCATAAACAAAATTCGTTGAGAATTCTTAATTTGGAGTTGGTAGTAAATTTTCACTTGTTTTTTTTTTTACACCCTTCAGCATGAACAGAACGACATGCTTCGTGCTGCGTTCATGGGATGCCGGCCTCAATCAATGGCCACTTCTGAAGAATCGGTTCAACATGCTACAGCTGAAGCCTAGATTTGTATATAGAAATTGATGAGCGCACAATAATTTACTAACGAATGCAATAAATGGGCAATGTGTGTTCCTTTCCTGGTTCTCTGGTTTCAAGCTGAAGGCGCTGCACAATGCTTTCTACACGCAATCGATTTCTGTCTATATAGCTCGTCTGTTACATTTATTTGTTTGTTGTTTTTACGCAATCTGCGTTACACTAAAACGGCTAAATTTCCAGTGACACCAACTCCACAGCTTTTCCGTGATTCGGTAATACGGTAATATAGCCTGCGTGCCTTTTTATTCGTATGCTATATAATTAAGTGTTCTTGTGGAACCACATTAATGCAATAGAAATAGTCGTCAATCCATCCGCTTCGTGATGACGCTTTTATAACAATGCTATATAATAACACAATGACGTCCCCACGCTTTGCCAAGGGCTGTTCATTACTCAAATAGGTACTTTCCTCAAAATTGTTGATTTACTTGAACCGTCCAAGTCTTCGCAAAATGCCCTGCACGCCCTTTAAATGTGTTCCTCTCTACGGGCCTGTGTGTGTGTGCGCGCGCGCGCGTGTGTGTGTGTGTGCGCGCGCGCGTGGTGTGTGTGTGTGTGTGTGTGTGTGTGTGTGTGTGTGTGTGGTGTGTGTGGTGTGTGGTGTGTGTGCGTGCGTGTGCGTGTGTGTATACTTCCTCCCTCTTTATACTAAAAACACATACATCCGGAATACCCATCAGAAACTAGACCTTCAGCACCCGGCCATCGACTCGCTCTCATAAGTCCGCAGCCGATAAGCCATCACAGCGGTTATCTCGCAGTGCTGAATCACTGTCTACTACATGATTATTGCGATAAGCAAGTGGCTTTGAATGACACGACGAGGACACCAGCAGCACAAGCCGTTTATGTGGCTACTTGAATTATCTCATTCATTCTGACCAAGCGTTCATAGTTATCTTATAACGAATGGTGTGACGAACTATTGCCATTTGGTGTCCTTTAGACAAGAGGCTCATCCTTAATCGTGACTGACCTTATGAATACTATCCGCTGGATACCACTCTGGAGTTAAGCTCCTAACGTACTTCTTTCTCTTTCATTTTCTTTATGCTTTCTTAAGCTTTCAATTCCCTTATCTCATTCTCGAACAGAGTGAAGAACTATAGAAACACCACCTTGCGTTTGCAAAAAAAAAAAGCTATCGTTCACTCGCTCCCTCATTTACATGCGAATGCGTGAACATAGTTTGAACTCATGTCGGAAACAACGCATCTTCAAAGAATAATCTTGCTGCAATCTTCACATCGCGATAGCGAAGGACAGTTGAAGGCTTTCTAAGCATATAACATCGATGCCTGCGATTCCGGAGTAGAAAAGAGACAGTCCCGAGTTGCGCTGACTTCATTCTATCTGCGTCTCCATACTGCTGCTGCATCGAAAACGTTCAAGAAGCGAGAACTCCTCTGCTGCAAGCTGAAAGGTAAGTACATGCTCTTTACAAACCATTTTCCACGTGCATGCTGCTTTTTCGCAAGTTGATGTGTTTTCCTCTATTATTTACAATAAGCCTTGGCGTCCAACTTTCAGCTTCGTCAATAATATCTCGGCACCATTTCGTGGTTTGAGCGTTTGATGAATGTATGTTTTGCATGGTGTTCATACCGAGCGGCGCCGGAAGGCCTGAACAGCAAAAAAAAAAAAAGCACATGATCTGCGATTCTGTAAAATTTAAAATCACGTGTGAGCTCGTGGGACAAGGCCGGGTGTTTCATTCATGGTTTGCCTTCATAAGAATTCAATACGAGAGAGAGTGGGCAGCAATTTCGATACGCTGTCGACTTGATCTTTCATACAATTCATTTTTTGTGTATTCGGTTTTGTAAAAGTACACCGTGTTTTAAGAAATACGGAGCCCTCTGTCATGACCTTCTTATTTGAATTTACTGGCAACTATTTCTGCAGAAGAGGAACATTCTAAATTGTGTAACGCTCATGGAAAGATAATGATGCAAGTTATAAGGCATCAAATCACTGTTGCGTGGCTCAGTCAAACTTTGAGTCAAATTTGGCAACGCCAGGCTGCGGAAATCACCGTATGTGGAAGGAAACCCTCAAGGTATAAGATTTCGCCAACACACGATGACTCTCATTTTGAGATACGTTATTCACGTT